TGTTGGAGAGGAAGGGGAAGGAGGAGGCTTGAGAAGGAAAACCCGCAAGGACAGCCTTTCGCTGTACAAGCAGCCGCATGTGCATATATATATGACTTAGATATGTATATATACATGTGCATGTATATATATATATATACATATATAAGTCATATGTATATATATACATACCTTTCGCTGTACAAGCAACCCCATGTGCATATACATATATATATATATACAAGCTCGAACGCATACATACATACACACCTGTAGGCGCGCACACCAGCATGTTCTCTCCACTGAACATGGCGCAATCCGCCACCCTCGACTGGATGCGGTTGAGGGACTCCATGCCCGCAAAGGCCCCTCGGGCCCAATCAGGCAGCTCCGAAACCTTGCGCAGCTTCTCACCGTCCGCGAAGGGCTTGGGCTTCAGAGCGGGCACCTCCACCTCCTCATAGCCCTTGTATACGCGGCGCTGGGAGCCCTACAAGTCAGGCAGTGGTGGTGGTGGTGGTGGCGGTGGTGGTGGGAGTTGTGTGGGTGGTGGATGGGGATGGCGGTGGGAGGAGGAGGAAAGCGCTCCCACCCCACGCGATAAGAACTCACACGCGCACAGACTAATGCACTACTTCCCTCCCCAACAGGCCAGCAGGCCATCAGCAAACACATACCTACATACACATACATGCATGCACACACATACATACATACACACGCATACTTTTCCATGAGGCGCACACACACACAGACAGCGCCACGCACCCAACCCCGCCCCCCACCCAACCCCCTAAACAGTCCAAACCGAACACTCGGTGCCATCTCCACCCCTTTACACACATACATACACACACACGTCGTTGGCGCAGCTGGGCAGCAGCCCCTCTGGCCAGCGTCGTCAGGCCCGGCAAGATATTCGTAATAACTACACACACACACACACACACACAGATTCACCTGCGGCAGCGCCACGCTCTTGTTGCTCATGAGGTGGCTTCCCTGCCTGAAGGCCAGGCTGTCCAGAGCCACTGAGTGGCGGCCCGCGGTGGCGCCCCCCCCGCCACCCGCATCCCCGCGGGCACCTGCGGAAGGGGGGGAGGGGAGAGGTGTGTGTGCGTGATAAGAAGAAGGGTTGGGTTAGCAGGGTTGACAGGTTGGACTGAGGAAGGGTAATGGTGGTGAGAGAAAGCCGTTGGCCCAAATTGAGAAACGAAGGCAGAGTGTTGGAGGAAGAGAATGGCACACCGGGAAATTGCCATTTAATGGCTTCGGAAAGGTGTGGTGGTGGTGATGGTGGTGGTGATATGATAGTGGTTTGGATGTCAGACAGGGGACAGGGGAGTAAGAAGCAGCAGGTTGCGATAGACAAACCCACATTTCACCCCCTCCATCAACACAGCTA